CAATACGCTCCAGGAGGTAATACTAACACCGATGGCCAGGAAACGTCACTGACCAGGAACCAGTACGAGTGGCGCCACCGAAGTCGCACACTCACACTGATGGTGATATTTTTTTGGTCGGCGGCTCCGAGGCGGCGGACAGGGAGCGGTAGGCGTCGTCTGGGCCAGCAGGCGAAGCTAATTAGCTACAGCAGGCAAAGCACCTGCAGTAAAAACCCGCAAGAAAGCGAGTATGCACATGCAGTAAGCAAAATGCTCGATTAGACGCTGCGGAAGAGTCGCCCTGTCGGCGCCAGTTCGCGCAGCCAGCCTAGCCGATTAGACAGGTAGGACCAAAGCGACAGAAGGCTGAACCACTCAGCGCGAGGTACCACCGCCGTGCGCGGGGTAGGCAAAGACAGGGCAGGGACCTACAGAGCTCTCACTCCACGATCCAGACCGCTGCCCATGGTGGGGCCGGTGCGTCAGCCATCGCTCCGAAACCACACACCGGCCGACAGGTGGGGACGAAGCGACACGCTGACGGCCGAACCACTCAGACTGGTGGGGATACGCGAAGCGTCAAGAATTCAATTTTATAAATGCACCCTCCGGGACGTGCTCTTTCACACACACACACACACTCTCTAGAACACGTGTAGCATTACTAATAGTATGAACCGTATGTTCAATTATGTCCGTTGCTGTTCCAATGATCACCGCAGGCGTGCAGGGATCGTGGAGGGGGGCTTCTCGAGGTATCGCGCATGCTTGTTTGGATTGAGAGGGGCGTCTTGTAGTTAACAGCGCAACAGGGAGTTGTGGTGATTCTGGAGGAGTGAATGGGAGAACGATGAGGGAGTAGGGGATTCGCTGCATAATGTTTTGTTTGCTGCATTTTGTAAGGGCCACTACCGCCAATGTGTTGTGGGTGTTCGGGGTGTCGCGCGTGTTCGTTTGGATTGACACGGGCGTCTTGTAGTGATCAGCGCAAGAAAGATGTGGTGAATATAACGGGTGCAATAGGATAATAAAAAGGGGATGGGGATGCATTGCGTAATGTTTGGCTTGTTGTTTGCAGTTTGAAAGAAGCAAGTAACGCCAATGTTTCCCAACCATCCTGTGGTGTTGGGTCCTCGTTTCGAAGAAACAGCGGCGCCCCGCGTCCCTCCAACCTCCTCCCCCTCCTCCCTCCTCCCCCTCCTTGCTTCTGCCATCCGTGCACCTGTCTCGACACACCCCATCACGGGCTTCGTGGCCCTATGTGGAACTCCACCTAAGGCCCAGTGGCGTCGTTCCCATGCGTCTGCGCCACCTATTTTGGCACACCCCTCACACGGTTCTTGGCAACATAGGAGCTCCACCTAAGACCTAAAGCCCCCACGGCGGCGTTCCCATGCGCCCGCGCCACCCATGTCGGCGCACCATTCACAAGGTTCGTGGCCCCATAGGGGCGTTCCACCGAAGGCCCCAGCAGCGACGTTCCCATGCCTCCGCGCCACCAATTTCGGCACACCCCTCACACGGTTCGCGGCCCCATTGGGTGCTCCACCTAAGGCCCCAGCGGCGACGTTCCCATGCGTCCGCGCCACACATTTGTGGCGCACCCCTCACACAGTTCGTGGCCCCGTAGGGAACTCCACCTAAGGCCCCAGCGGCGGCGTTCCAATGCGTCCGCGCCGTCCATTTCGGCGCAGTCCGCACACGATTCGTGGCCCCATAGGGAGCTAGCTCCACCGACGGCCCCAGCGGCGACGTTCCCATGCCTCCGCGCCACCAAATTCGGCACACCCCTCACAAAGTTCGCGGCCCCATTGGGTGCTCCACCGAAGGCCCCAGCGGCGACGTTCCCATCCGTCCGCGCCACCTATTTCGGCAAACCCCATCACACGGTTCGTGGCCCCATCTGGTGATCCACCGAAGGCCCCAGCGGCGACGTTCCCATGCGTCCGCGCCACACATGTGTGGCGCACCCCTCACACAGTTCGTGGCCCCGTAGGGGACTCCACCTAAGGCCCCAGTAGCGGCGTTCCAATGCGCCCGCGCCTTCCATTTCGGCGCAGCCCGCACACGATTCGTGGCCCCATAGGGAGCTAGCTCCACCGAAGACCCCAGACGGCGACGCTCCCATGCGCCCGCGCCACCAATTTCGGCACACTCCTCACACGATTCGTGGCCCCATAAGGATCCCCACCAAAGGCCCCAGTGGCGACGTTCCCATCCGTCCGCGCCACCTATTTCGGCACACCCCATCACAGGGTTCGTGGCCCCACCTGGAGCTCCACCGAAGGCTCCAGCGGCGACGTTCCCATGCGTCCGCACACCCCTCACACGGCTCGTGGCCCCCTTAGGGAGCTCCACCTAAGGCTCCAGCGGCGACGTCCCCATGCGCCCGCGCCACCCATTTCGGCGCACCCCTCACACGGCTCGTGGCCCATACAGGGGTCTACACCTAAGGCCCCAACGGACGCGGCCACAAGCGTCTGCCACACCAATTTCGGCGCACCACTCACACGCTTCGTGGCCCTATAGGGAGCTCCACCTAAGGCCCCACTGGCGACGTTTGCATGTGTCCGACCGAACCATGTCGGCACACCCCTCACACGGTCCGTGGCCCCCCTACGGAGCTACACGGAAGCCCCCAGCTGCGACGTTCGCATGCGCCCCCCTCTCGCCCATTTCGGCAGACACACCCCTCACACGCTGCGTGGCCCATGGGGAGCTCCACCGAAAGTTCGCGCGCGTCCCACCCATTCGTCCCCCCCCCCCTGCCTGCACCGCCCCGCGCCTCGTTCTTCCTGCGGCGCGTTGCCTATGAGAGCCGAGGGGTATACCGCGTGCGTTGTTCAGGGTTTGCGTGCCTGCCTCTTCCGTGCCATCTCCCTCGCGGTTCTCGCAGCTGCACCTGGTTGGGTCTTTTCGTCCGGCTAATTAGATTCGTTCGTGATGGAAGTATATACAATTATGGAGTGTGGCGGGTTTACTCATACATGTACCTGCGAAGGGATGCCAAATGGTTTCCTTCAGTGGGAGGTCACAGAGAAGCTCAATTTTGGGAAGTCTGAGAATTTCACGATGCTGTAAACTGTCACAAATTTTCCGTCGCGACGTGCGATGCGATGCTTTCAGTCCGCGGCCCCAAAGCTCCCGACCCCTTCACGGGGGTGGCTCTGCGTCCCAGATCGGTGACTGATGGTCCAGGGAAGCGCCACGATTTAAAAACCAAATCGTCGGATATCGATGGGGGGAGAGGAGGAGGAGGAGGAGGAGGAGGAGGAGGAGGAGGAGGAGGAGAAGGAGGAGGAGGAGGAGGAGGAGGAGGAGAAGGAGGAACCTGAACCTGAACCCGAACCAGTCTCGGATCCCCACTGAATCGACTACACGAGCCCAACGCCTCGCTAATGAGCCTCCTTTGGCATCTGGCTAAGACTACTTCGTCATCTGTCGTTTCGTTTCGAGGGCGTGCTGTCGTCAACTAGCGATCTGGCTCAACGGCACTTCGCCCCCACGCAGAGGACGCTCGGTGGAGTAGCACTCGCTCAAAAAAACTGGCGGCCACCTCTTCTTGCCCCTCGGCCCTTGCCCTTCCCCCGCCACGCCTCCAACCCCCCCCCCTCCCTTCGGGCCCAATCCCTGGGGGTCGGTGAATTAGGAACTGGCTGGGAAGGGCCTCGGAAAATAAATTCTAGCACAGCATGTGGAAGGGGGTCTGGGAGTGGGGATTCTACCTGCACGAGCGAGTTCCCCAAAACGGGTTCTGTCTGCAGAGGCCGAGGGGGTAGGGAATCGGGGAGCTGCACTACCGCTTGGATCCTCACACTCCTCACTTCAGAAGACGACCGAGATCCCTCTCCAAGGCCCCCCTCGGTGCCGTCCCGCACTTGCGCCTCGCCTCCTGTGTCATGAGGGCGGCCACGAGAATGCTCCTGATCGCTTCTGACTCCGGGTGAAAGCAGAACTGCGCCATGCACTTCTCCTTCCCATGGCCGGCCTTGCCTGTCTTTCGCTTCACGCGGAAGATCGTGACGGACGCGCCCAGGGCGTCGACATCTGGCTGCATCACGACCTCCTGGTGATAAGTCTGGAGTTTCTGCTGGGGCTCGCCCGTGGTACCCTGTCCCCGTTTCTGCACCACTGTTTGCCACACCAACAAGCGATGGGGGGCCCATCGAGCCCGCGTCCGCGCTCTCGTCGGTCGCCGCCTTCGCCTTCAGCGCCTGCGCGTCCGCGCTGCAGTCCGCCCCCGCCTGGAGCCCCACGCTGACCAAAGATGCGTACGCGTCCAACTCCCACGTCTCGACCACGACAGAAACGAGTTCGGCTGTTTCTGGCGCCGTCGTGTGTAGCAGACGGGCCGTCAAGTTCAGCAAGCGGTCCTTGCTGTCGTCATCTTGCCGGCCTTTCTTCCCCTCCTTGTTGCCTGGCGTATCTCCGCTCCTCGTAGATCCCGCCCACTCTGGTACCTCCTCGAACATGCCAATACTTCTGAAGTGCGCGAGGTAGGTGCGAAAGAAGGTGCACACAACAACAACAAAAAACTCCGTCTCGATCTCTTTGGCTACAGGTCGGGCGCGTCGCCGCGAACATCGTCGGCCCGAATTGTTTGCGACCGCGGTCCGTCATACAAAAACCTCGCGTAAGTGATCTCTACAAGTGTCTCCATGCCGCGTTTCTGCACGTGAACGTTTGCCTGCGATGTATGCACTGATTGTTCGTCAGTATCACAGCGAGGTACGAGGAAGAGGAGGAGGAGGAGGAGGAGGAGGAGGAGGAGGAGGACGAGGAGGGAGGAAAGGGGAGGAAGAGGGAGGAGTGAGGAGGGAGGAAGATGGAGGAAGATGGAGGAAGAGGGAGGAAGAGGGAGGAAGAGGGAGGAAGAGGGAGGAGGGAAGACAGAGGGAGTGAGGGAGAAAGGGACAGAGGAAGGGAGAGAAGAAAGAGGGAAGGAGGAGGCAAGAGGGAGGAGGAAGCAGGAGGAGCCACAACTCCGTAGCACCCCGTGGCTTTGCCCGCCCTGTGGCCTAGTGCCCCCGTCGTCCTCCGCCAACACCTCCCGCGGCTCCTCGACCAGCGGGACCTCCAGCGGCTCCTCCGCGGCCCGCCGGCGCAGGGAGCAGCACGCGGTGACTTGTCCCCCACGGTTCTCGTCCGACCCCCTCCTTCGACGCCTCCTCTTCCTCCTCCGCCCCTCCTCCCCCCGCCCTCCTGATCCTCCTCCGCCACTCCTCCTCCGCCCCTCCTCTTTTCCTCCTCCTTTTCCTCCCCCTTGTCCTCCTCCTCCTCCTCCTGCCCCTCCTCCTCCTCCTCCTCCTCCTCCTCTCCTCCTCCTCCTCCTCCTCCTCCTCCTCGTCCTCTTTCTCCTCTCCTCCTCCTCCTCCTCCTCCTCCTCCTCCTCCTCATCATCATCATCATCATCATCATCATCAGCATCAGATCATCATCATCATCATCATCATCATCATCATCATCATCATCATCATCATCATCATCATCATCATCATCATCATCATCATCATCATCATCATCATCATCATCATCATCATCATCATCATCATCATCATCACATCATCATCATCATCATCATCATCATCATCATCATCATCATCATCATCATCATCATCATCATCATCATCATCATCATCATCATCATCATCATCATCATCATCATCATCATCATCATCATCATCATCATCATCATCATCATCCTTCCCCTCCTCCTCCTCCTCCTTCCCCTCCTCCTTCCCCTCCTCCTCCTCCTCGGGAAAGCGATAATTGTGGCCTCCTGGGGCCCTCCTGGGAAGTCTCTTCGGCGTCTCTTGGTCCGTCGTAGAGGCGTCTGGGGCCGTCTTGGCGCCGCAAGAGGCAGTCTTGGCTTGTCGTGGAGCGCTCTTGGAGCGTCTTGGGGATACCTTGGGCCGTCCTGGGAACCTCTTGGTGTCGCCCTGGGGCTGTTTTGGGCGCCTCTTGGGCTCTCTTGACGCCCTCTCGGGCCGGTTTCGTGCGTCTTGGGGGCCTCTTGGGCCGTCTTGGGGCGGTCGTGGGGACCTGGAACCAGCTTGTGCGCCATATTCCCGACAAGCAGCGCATGCTAAAAGTGAGCGTTTTTTCTCCGGGAAAACAATGATTTTCGCCTCTGGGGGCCATCCTTGGACGCCTCTTGGGCGTCTCTGGGGCCGTCGTGGAGGCCTCCTGGGCCGTCTTGGGTTTGTTTTCGGCGGTCTTGGGCTCTCTTGGAGCGCTCTTGGGCCGTCTTGGGGGTGTGTGGGGCCGTCCTGGGCGCCTCCTGGGAGCCTCTTGGGGCCGCCTGGGGGCCGTGTTGGGCGCCTCTTGGGTCTCTTGACGCTCTCTCGGGCCGGTTTTCGTGCCTCTGGGGGGCCTCTTGGGCCGTCTTGGGGCGGTCGTGGGGACCTCTTGTCCTGTCTTGTGCGCCATATTCCCGACAAGCAGTGTATGCTAAAATTGGACGCTTTTCTTCGGAAAAAACAATGATTTGGGCCTGTGTGGGCCATCCTGGGACGCCTCTTGGGCGTCTCTGGGGCCGTCGTGGAGGCCTCTGGGCCTTGTCGGGGCCGTTTTCGGCGGTCTTGAGCTCTCTTGGAGCGCTCTTGGGCCGTTTTGGGGGTGTCTGGGGCCGTCCTGGGGGCCTCTGGGGCCGCGTGAGCGCCTCTGGGGCGTCCCCGGAGCCGTTGTGGGGCATTTTACGCCCATCAAGACAGGGACCCTTCCCGCACGCACGGGTCCCTGCATTGTAGAGAAGACTAGGGCTGACCCGTGGACTACGTCCACGACATCTGCTTCTGCCCTGTGCCTTTTACAGCCGCTTGCTGTTGTTGAGTGCTGCGTGTTGCCACTCGCGGCTTTTCGTGTTGTCATTATTCGGCGTTTGCCGCTTAATTATGTCGCTTCTTGCTGCTTGATCCTGACTTCAACCTGGATCCTTTGCAAAGGAGGGAAGAAAACAGCAGGCGCATCGGCGCCTTATTTTCCTGCGTGGCCGGCGCGGTTCCAGAGCTCCCTGAGGGATCTTCCTTCGGAAGCCTTCTTGGGAGCCCTGGGGCCAGCTTGGGGCGTGGAGGCTCCGATGATGCGAGCAAGTCAGACTGGAGCCTTTGCAAAAGAGGGAAGAAAATAAGAGGCGCATCGGCGTCTTACTTTCCTGCGTGGCCGGCGCGGTTCCAGAGCTCTCCGAGGGATCTTCCCTCGGAAGCCTCTTGGAGGCGGCTTCGGGGGTGTCTTCTGGCCTCTCGAGGATCTCTGGGGGCCTGATTTGGGCCTCTTCGGGGCCCTTCTGGGGCGTCTGGGGGGCCTCCTGGGGACATGCTGGCAGTGTCTGGGATCATCATGGAGCGGAGGGCGCGAAATTTCAGTTCGAGTTCCCCCTCGTGTGGTCCTCTTGGGACCGTCTTGGGGGGTTCTTGGGCCGTGTTGGGGCGCTCTTGGGCCGTCTGGGAGCTCTCTTGGGCGCCCTGGGGACGGCTGGGAGCGTGGAGACTCCGCCAAAGCGAAAACGCTGAAACCCTTTAACAAATCAATGAAAAAAGCAACATTTTAGCGTCTCAGAGCCCTTCTTGGGGGCCTCTTGGAGCCCTCTTGGGCCCTGTGGGGCCTTCTGGGGCGTTGGGGGGGATTCTTGGAGGGCAACTGGCGGTTTCTGGAATCATCCTGGCCTGGAGCGGAGGGCGCGAAATGCCAAGTGGAGTTGCACCTCGTGAAGCACTCCTGGGGCCGTCTTCGGCCGTCTTGGAGCCCTCTTGGGCTGTCTGGGAGCTCTCTTGGGGGCCTGTTGGGCCATCGTGGCGCGATCTTGGGGGCCCTGGGGCCAGCTTGGAGAGTGAAGGTTCCGAAAAGGCGAAAACGCTGAAACCCTTCAAAAACACGCGGTCAATTCTTGGTTTTCGCCTCACGGGGCCCGTCTTGAGGGCCCCTGGGCTATCTTCTGGCACTGTGGCGCCTTCGGGGGCGTCTGGGGTCCTCTTGGGGGCCAGCTGGCGGTGTCTAGGATCATCCTGGAGCGGAGGGCGCGAAAGGTCAGTTCGGGGCCCCCCCTGGTGGGGCCCTCTTCGGGCCGTTTTGGGTCGTTTGGGGGGGGCTATTGGGCCATCTTGTGGCCCTCTTGGGCTGTCTGGGAGGCCTCTTCGGCCGTCTTGGAGCGGTCCTGGGGGCCTCTTGGACGGTCTTCGAGCGTCAGGAAGCCGACAAAGAGAAACTGCAAAAAACATCCAAAAAGTATGAAATTCAGCGATTCTCGCCTCTCGAGACCCTCTGGAGAGGCCTCTCGGAGCGTCTTGGGACCTCCTGGGCCGTCCTTGGGCCAATCTTGGGCGTCTTGGCCCGATCATTAGGCGTCTCAGGGCACTATTGGGCCGTCTTGGGGGCGTCTTGGGGCCCTCTTGGTCCGTCTTCAGGCTTCCCTGGGCGGCCAGGAGCGCCCTGGGGCCAGCCCGGAGCAGTTTTGAGTCACTGGGTCCTGCGTCCTTCTGGCACGCGGCGCCCCTGGCGTTAGAGTATAGACTAGGGCTGACCCGCGGCCTTCCAGCCGCGGAATCTGCCCGCCATGGCGTGGACGTGGAAGTGGAGCGTCTCCGGGGCCTCGCGAGGGGGGGAGGTCGGAGGGGACAGCATGGATGGAGGAGGTGGCCGCTGGAGGGGGAGGTGAGCGAGGGATGCAGGCAAGCAGGCCTGAAGGCAGCAACGCGGTGGTGGAGGCGGTGTCAATGGAAGCACACCAATGTAGGCACGACGTGGTGTGGACAGAAGCTTCTTCTCACGCCGCGTCATAGCTTCTGCGGGGCGGGTCGCCGTGATGATTTTGTCTGCTCTTCGCCAGGGCCAAATGATGAGTTTATCATGTAGTGTGGTGAAAATGAGGCCGGTGGGTGCGGCTTAAGAGGCCCGCAATAGGGCGTCGAGACGGCCCAAGAGGTCTCCAGGACAGGCCAGCAGGCTTCCCAGACGGCCCAAGAGGGCTTCACGAACTCCTAAGACGGGCCCTGGTGCGAGGACACGAATCGACCTTTCGAGCGCACCGCCCCAAGACGTCCCCGAAAGGCCGAGAGATGGCCCCCAGAGTCCAAGAAGCCCCCAAGATGGCGCTGGAAGTTCGACGCTCCCCAAGAGAGAAGCATCGAATGCCTCTCGGGGGCCGTCTCTTGGGCCGTCTTGGGTGCCTCTTGGGCCGTCTTGGTGCGATGTGGGCCCGTCTTGGGCGCCTCTCGGGCCACCTTGGGTCGTCCGTCTTGGGGACATCTTGGGCCATTGTTGCGCGCTCTTGGGGGCTGTCTCGGGTGCTTCTTGGGCCGTCTCGGGCGCCCCTGGAGCGTCCCAGGGCCGTCTCGGACCGTATTGGGGGCCCTCTGGGCCGTTTGGGGACCCTCCTGGGGGCGCCTGGGGGCGTCTTGGGGCGATCTCGAGGGCCTACACAGCCGTCTTGGAGACTGCGCAGACGAAGAGAACGAGCATAGGAGAAATGCACGTTCCCCGGAAGGAATGGGACGACGTTTGCCTCCTGGAGCTCTTCTAGGGATGCTCCTGGGCCGTCTCGGGGGTCTCTTGGCCTGCCTTGGAGGCCTCTGGGGCTATCCTGGAGCTCGCTCGGGGTCCTCTTGGGGCGTCCAGGCGCCCCCTTGAGCGTCTCTGAGCTGTCATTGCTCTTGGGGCTGTCTTGGGTGCCTCTTGGGCTGTCTCGGGCGCCTCTGGAACCGTCCCGGGGACGTCTCGGGCCGTTTTGGGCTCCTGCCTCTGGGGCCATCCTGGGGCTCGCTTGGGGTGCTCTTGGGGCGTCCAGGCGCCCTCTGGAGCGTCGCTGAGTCGTCTTGGGACCGTGGTTGGGTGCTTTTGGGGCTGTCTTGGGTGCCTCTTGGGCCGCCTTGGGCGCCTCTGGAGCCGCCCTGGGGCCGTATCGGGCCGTCTTGGGGTCCTCCTGGGGGCGTCTGGGGGCGTCTTGGGGCGATCTTGAGGGCCTACACAGCCGTCTTGGAGACTGTGCAGACGAAAAGGACGAACATACGAAAAATATACCTTTTCTGAAAGGAATGGGACGATTTTCACCTGTTGGGGCTCTCCTAGGGGCCCTCCTGGGCCGTCTCGGGAGCCTCCTGGCTTGCCTTGGAGGCCTCTGGGGCCATCCTGGGGCTCGCTTGGGGTCCTCTTAGGGCGTCCAGGCATCCATTGAGCCGTCTTGGGACCGTCTTGGGGCATCCTGGGAGACTGGGGGACTCGCAGGGCGCCCCGGAGTGCCCAGGAAGCCTTTCGGAGCAAAAACTTTCTCGCACGCAAATGTCCCTGCCTTGTAGGACAGCCTAGAGGAGCTGACCCGCGGCCTTCTGGCCGCGAAATCTGCCCGCCATGGTATGGACTCCGCTCTGGGGCCGCTCAGGCGCCCAGTGCATGGCAGGATCACGGATAGGACGCTGGAGTAACTGTCCATTTGGTTCACTTGGGCTGCGCATTGGGAGACTTCTCGGGGTGTCTGAACACTCTTGGGGCCTTCTTCGGGGCATGCTCAGGACATCTCTGTGGCTCCTATCGGCTTTTGGGCCATTTTGGACGCCCTCCTCGTCCTCCCCTGGATCCTTCATCCCGCCGATCTTCGTTTGGAGCCATGCTCGGGACATCTCGGTGGATTCGATCGGCTTTTGGGGCCATTTTGGGCGTCCTCCTCCTCCTCCTCCTCCTCCTCCTCCTCCTCTTCCTCCTCCTCCTCCTCCTCCTCCTCCTCCTCCTCCTCCTCCTCCTCCTCCTCTTCGTCCTCTTTCTCCTCCTCCTCCTCCTCCTCCTCCTCCTCCTCCTCCTTCTCCTCCTCCTCCTCCCCTCCTCCGCCTCTCCGCCTCGCGCCACCTCCTCCGCCACCGCCGCCTCCTCCGCCTCCTCCTCCTCCTCCTCCTCCTCCTCCTTCTCCTCCTCCTCCTCCTCCTCCTCCTCCTCCTCCTCCTCCTCGTATTTCCCTTCAGCATCTCGACGGCCCAAGACCTGCCCTGCGGAGACGGCCCGAGATCGCCCCGGGAGTCCCCACAGCCTTCCGAAGGAGGGACGAGGACGAGGCAGACTGCGAGGCGGGGGGTTATCCATATCCACCGCCTGGGAACCGACGTCCTGGTGCCCCAGCGGGCGGTGGATATGGATTTATTTGGGCCCCGGGGGGCCCGAATATATCCATATCCACCGCCTGCCGAGGTCCCCAAAACTTGATCCTCCAGGCGGTGGTCATGTATAAGTTCCCGCCTCGGATAGATATGCATCATGTTCGACGAGGCCTTGCGAACACCACAACAAATCCGTCGAACCCGCGGACACGAAGTGCCAAGGCGTGCGAAACATGTAACTCTATTCCCTCCTCTCCCCTCCCCCCAGTGTCCCACCCGAGAACACCCCAAAGAGAACCCGAAGACGCCCTACAAAATATCCAAGGTGACTCAAGAAGCCACCAAGACAACCATGAAGGGCCTCAACCCCCAAGACAATGAGGAGAAGTAGTACTTGTTAACTTCCGGAGCCCTTCTACACACCATGGCGCCCACAAACCCCGAACATCCCCCTCAGAGTCCCCAGAACGCCCCGAAGAAGCGCCCAGATAACTCCCAAACGCCCCCAAGAAACCCCGCACCCGACCCCAATCCTCTTCCAAAATGCCTCGACGTCATCGTCCTTCTCCTTCTCCTGCTCCTCCCGCTCCATCTCCTCGCCCTTGTCGTCGACGTTCTCGTCCTGTTCCTGACCTTCTCGGGGTCGGCGGAATGGCGTAAGCCTTCTGAATATTGCATCATTGAAAAACTCGGCTGGAGTTAGATCGGACACGTCCCCCGACAGGCAGACTTTGGAGGAACAGAAAATAATGGTCAAGATGACATAGAAATGGCCCAAAAATTCTCAAGCATTCGTCCACGGACTGTATTTTCACTATTTTTGAATATTCCTCCTGTAGAGGAGCACGCCCGATTTCAGGCTGGAGCCCCGGACCCTCTCTTTCTGTCGCCCCTCTCGAGCCAGGTAGATCTGCGAGGGTCCCGGGGCCCGAAGCCAGACGACAAGGCCCAGAGCGGAAAAAATGCGACGCCCAAATCTCAGGATCTCAGGGCTCGGAGACGACGACGACGCCGACGACGACGACGACGGCGACGACACGTACTCCTCCGCGACGACGACGACGACGAAGACGGCGACGACGACCTCGTTCTCCTCCGCGACGACGACGACGACGACGACGCCCACGCCGACGACGACGGCGGCGGCGGCGGCGCTGGCGCCAACGACGGCGACGACCACCGCCGGGCGGCAGAGCGCTCCTCGCCGAGCGCGGCGCGGTGGACCCCCGCGGCGGGAGAGCGCGGCGAGCGCGGCGCGGAGCGCGGGCTCTCCAGGCGGGCAGTCAGCGCGGCCAACGCGGCGGGCGGCGCGCCAGCCGCGCCGGCCGCGCCAGCCTCGCACCTCGACGACGACGACGACGACGACGGCGACGACGACGACGACGACGACGCCGACGACGACGGCGACGACGACCTCGTACTCCTCCTCGACGACGACGACGACGACGACGACGACGACGGCGGCGACGACGATGCCGACGACGACGACGACGACGGCGACGACGACCTCGTACTCCTCCTCGACGACGACGGCGACGACGACGACGACGGCGGCGACGACGACGACGACGACGGCGGCGGCGGCGGCGACGGCGGCGGCGGCGCCGCCGTCGTCGTCATCATTGTCGTCGTCGTCGTCGCCGTCGTCGTCGTCGTCGTCGTCGTGGTCGTCGTCGGCGTCGTCATCGTCGTCGTCGTCGTGGTCGTCGTCGGCGTCGTCGTTGTCGTCGTCGTTGTGTTGGTCGTCGCCGTCGCCGCCGCTGCCGTCCCCAGACCCCGACATCCTGGCGTGGGACATTTTCCGCGCAAGGCGTTTGCGCCCGGTTCCGGGCCACGGGGCCATCACAGATCGATCCAGCTCGAAAACACCGCAGAAGGATAGGGTCATTGCGATGACGTATTTTTTCCCACTCCTGCAAAAAAAAAAAACACCAGTCGCGGTTGATTGCGATGTTGCATTGTTTCGTGACGCCGGATCTCGGGAGCAGCGGCGGCGACGGCGGCGGCGGCGGCGACGACGACCCCCACCTTTTCGGGCGGCGGTTCGAAGTTTTCGCTCGTTCCCGCGAGTTCCCGGGCGCCCGTCAGGCCCCCAGCGGCTGCGCCTCGCCGGAAGCGGTTACAAACGGATGGTCGGATGCGGGGATGCGCGGATGCGCGGATGGTCCCAAACGGGGATGCGCGGGGACGCGCGGGGATGCGCGGATCGCCGGCTGCGCCTCGCGGGGATGCGCGGATGGTCCCAAACGGCCGCGAGACACCCGAATCCTGGCCCGAGTCATGGCCCGAGTCACACCCCCAGAGATCCTATGCCGTGACTTCTTCACAGCGCTGTCCCCCGAAGTCTCGACCCCCTCCCAAGAGGACCGGATGCTCATCCCGAGGCGTTTTCGGACGATGCCCGGGCCCGGCGAGGGCCCCTGGAGGCCGAAACTTGCGACAAGCCTCCGTCTAGATTTTTGTCAACGCGTTGGACCTCTGGGCCCGAGTCCTGGCACTCTCGTCGTGGGAAAATCGGGAGGGGCGGCCCCGGGCCGTGCCTTGGGCCTCCGGGGGCCCTCGCCCGGCCTCCCGGGGGGCCCATCGAGAAGAGCGGCGCTCGGGGCTGAGAGCGGGCCGGGAAGGGGTCCAGACACATCTGGGGGTCAGCGCTGCGAAAAACACACTCTTTGTTGACTCGCGGGTCGAGAGCGCACCTCTTCCGGTCGAAGCTAAGCGGGCCGCGCAGAGCTTGAATTACGCGCTGCGAAAAAAAATATCCCGGCAAAGCAACCTAACAGCGATGTGTAGAAGCATATCTGAAAGCATTCCCCTTAAGATTCAGATGATTATCCCGGCAAAGCAACCTAACAGCGATGTGTAGGAGCATATCTGGAAGCATTCCCCTTACGATTCAGATGAGAATCCAGTTGTAGAATTCTGCTGTTCTCGCAGTCGTAGTCGCATTCGCGATGACAGTCGCAGTGGCAACGGCAGTCACAGTCACAGCTCAGCCTCAGCCTGCCTCAGCCTCAGCCTCAGCCTGCCTCAGCCTCAGCCTGCCTCAGCCTCAGCCTCAGCCTGCTTCAGCCTCGCGGTCGGCCTCAGGGCTGCCTCACCTGCTCAGCCTCAGCCTGCATCAGCCTCAGCCTCAGCCTCAGCCTGCCTCAGCATCAGCCTGCCTCAGCCTCAGCCTCAGCCTGCCTCAGCCTCAGCCTGCTTCAGCCTCAGCCTCAGTCTGCCTTCAGCCTCGGCCTCAGCCTCAGCCTGCCTCAGCCTCAGCCTGCCTCAGCCTCAGCCTCAGCCTCAGCCTCAGCATTCAAAATGTTGGCCCGGGAATGGAGTTCTGGGAACTCGAAGAGCACGAAGTGGCCTACAGTTGGCTCCGGGCATTCAAAATGTGGCCCGGGAATGGAGTTCTGGGAACTCGAAGAGCACGAAGTGGCCTACAGTTGGCTCCGGGCATTCAAAATGTGGCCCGGGAATGGAGTTCTGGGAAGTCGAAGAGCACGAAGTGGCCTACAGTTGGCTCCGGGCATTCAGAATGTGGCCCGGGAATGGAGTTCTGGGAGGTCGAAGAGCACGAAGTGTGTGACTGTTGGCTAAAACCGACTTCTGCGGCACCCTGTCCGGCACCCGCCCAGACCCCCTTGTGGAGTGATCTGTGAGCTCTTTTGAGTCAACTAGAAACCTATCAGTCTACGCTGTTAGGTAAATAGTAATTATCCCGGCAAAGCAACCTAACAGCCATGTGTAGGAGCCGGCCGGGGCAGCCGGCCGCCCTCCCCTCCTGCTCGTCCTCCTCCTCCTCCTCCTGCTCGTCCTCGTGCTCCTCCTGCTCGTCCTCTTTCTCCTGCTCCTCCTCCTCCTCCTCCTCCTCCTCCTCCTCCTGCTCGTCCTCGTGCTCCTCCTGCTCGTCCTCTTTCTCCTGCTCCTCCTGCTCGTCCTCCTCCTCCTCCTCCTGCTCGTCCTCGTGCTCCTCCTGCTCGTCCTCTTTCTCCTGCTCCTGCTCCTCCTCCTCCTCCTCCTCCTCCTCCTCCTCCTCCTCCTCCTCCTCCTCCTCCTCCTCATTTTTCTCCTGCTCCTCCTCCTCCTCCTCCTCCTCCTCTTCCTCCTGCTCGTCCTCGTTCTCGTCCTCCTCGTCTTGCTCGTCCTCCTCCTCCTGGTGCTCTCTCCTCCTCCTCCTCCTCCTCCTCCCTCCTGGTAGTCCTCCCCCTCCCCTCCTCCTCCTCCTCCTCCTCGTCCTGGTCGTCCTCGTTCTCGTCCTCCTCGTCTTGCTCGTCCTCCTCCTCCTGGTGTTCTCTCCTCCTCCTCCTCCTCCTCCTCCTCCTCCTCCTCCTCCTCCTCCTCCTTTTCCTCCTGCTGGTCCTCGTTCTCAGCTCCTGGCCGTGCTCCGCCCCCCCCCTCCTCCTCCCATCCTCGTCCTCCTCCTCCTCCTCCTCTCCTCCCCCTCCTCCTCCTCCTCCCTCCTCCTCCTCCTCCTCCTTCTCCTCCTCATCCTCCTCTTCATCCTCCTCCTCCTCCTCATCCTCCTCATCCCTCCTCCTCCTCCTGGTATTCCTCCCCCTCCCCTCTCTCTTCCTCCCTCCTCCTCCTCTTCCTGGTCGTCCTCCTCCTCCTGGTCGTCCTCCTCCTCCTGCTCGTCCTCCTCCTCCTCCTGCTCGTCCTTCTTCTCCTGCTCCTCCTGCTCCTCGTCCTGCTCCTGCTCGTCCTCGTCCTCGTCCTCCTGGTCTTGCTCGTCCTCCTCCTCGTCGTGCTCTTGCCCCTGCTGAAAGTGTGGTCCAGGAATGGGAGTCCTGGGAAGTCGAAGAGCACGAAGTTGCCTACAGTTGGCTACGGGCATCCAAAATCTGGCCCGGGAATGGAGTTCTGGGAACTCGAAGACCACGAATGGCCTACAGTTGGCTCCGGGCATCCAAAATCTGGCCCGGGAATGAAGTTCTGGGAACTCGAAGAGCACGAAGTGGCCTACAGTTGGCTCCGGGCATTCAAAATCATGCCCAGGAATGGATTTCTGGGAACTCGAAGACCACGAAGTGGCCTACAGTTGGCTCCGGGCATTCAAAATGTGGCCCGGGAATGGAGTTCTGGGAAATCGAAGAGCACGAAGTGGCCTACAGTTGGCTCCGGGCATTCAGAATGTGGCCCGGGAATGGAGTTCTGGGAAGTCGAAGAGCACGAAGTGTGTGACTGTTGGCTTAAAATGAATTCTGCGGGACCCTGTCCGGCACCCGCCCAGACCCCCCTGTGGAGTGATCTGTGAGCTCTTTTGAATCAACTAGAAACCTACCAGTCTATGCTGTTAGGTAAAACCAAACAAAAAAAGAATATCCCGGCAAAGCAACCTAACAGCGATGTGTAGGAGCATATCTGGACACATTCCCCTTACAATTCAGATGAGAATCCAGTTGTAGAAGTCTGCTGTTCTCGCAGTCGTAGTCGCATTCGCGATGACAGTCGCAGTGGCAACGGCAGTCACAGTCACAGCCTCAGCCTGCCTCAGCCTCAGCCTGCCTCAGCCTCAGCCTCAGCCTGCTTCAGCCTCAGCTTCAGTCTGCCTTCAGCCTCGGCGTCAGCCTCAGGCTGCCTCAGCCCTCAGCCTCAGCCTCAGCCTGCCTCAGCATCAGCCTGCCTCAGCCTCAGCCTCAGCCTGCCTCAGCCTCAGCCTCAGCCTGCTTCAGCCTCAGCCTCAGTCTGCCTTCAGCGTCGGCCTCAGCCTCAGCCTGCCTCATCCTCAGCCTGCCTCAGCCTCAGCATCAGCCTGCCTCAGCATTCAAAATGTGGCCCAGGAATGGAGTTCTGGGAACTCGAAGAACACAAAGTGGCCTACAGTTGGCTCCGGGCATTCAAAATCATGCCCAGGAATGAATTTTCTGGTAACTCGAAGACCACGAAGTGGCCTACAGTTGGCTCTGGGCATCCAAAATGTGGCCCGAGAATGGAGTTCTGGGACCTCGAAGAGCATGAAGTGGCCTACAGTTGGCCCCGGGCATCCAAAATGTGGCCCGGGAATGGAGTTCTGGGAAGTCGAAGAGCACGAAGTGGCCTACAGTTGGCTCCGGGCATTCAAAATGTGGCCCGGGAATGGAGTTCTGGGGACTCGAAGACCACGAAGTGGCCTACAGTTGGCTCCGGGCATTCGAAATGTGGCCCGGGAATGGAATTCTGGGGACTCGAAGAGCCTGAAGTGGCCTACAGTTGGCTCCGGGCATTCAGAATGTGGCCCGGGAATGAAGTTCTGGGAGGTCGAAGGGCACGAAGTGTGTGACTGTTGGCTTAAAACAACTTCTGCGGCACCCTGTCCGGCACCCACCCAGACCCCCTGTG